CAGTCCGCACACAGGGTCCGTCCCCTCAGGACACAAGCTCGGTCCCCTCACACGCAGCCCCGCCGCTCCCGCCCGGCGCGCGCCCCCTCAGCCTCCGCCCCCCTCCTCCCCGCCCCCCGGGCGCGCACGTGCTGGAAGCAAACACCACGCGGCGCATGCGCGGCTCGGCCGCCCCTCCTTTACCCCCTCCCGGCTCGGGGCTGGCGGGGCCGGAGGAGGAGCCTCAGTCTCCGGGCGCCTGATTGACTGATGTCATTTCCCCGGCTCCGTGCCGCGCCCGCCCATTGGCTGCTCGCGGACCGCTATCTGCACCGCGCCGCCTGGTTCGCTGTTGCCGCGCCGGCCGTTGCCTTATCGCAATTCGGGCCACGCGGATTAGGGCGTCTAAACCCCGCCTCTTGCTCCAGCCCCTCCTGCCGCCAGCGCCAGCTCCGCCTTCCCCGCCTTCTCCTGCCTCCCATTGGTCCAAACCGCTTCGCTCCTCCCTGCGGCCCGCGCGCTGAGCTCTCCGATTGGGTGACGGCCGAGCTCGCCCCGCCCTCCGCGGCTGCCGATAAAGTTTTGTCCGGAGGCGCTGGGGCCACGCCCCCTCCGCCCCAGCCCCGCCCCCGCGGTCCCGGGCCCGCCCCTGACCTGCCCGAGGGGGGCGGCCGCTGAGGCGCGCGCGCGCTGGCGGCGGCGGCCCCTCCCGGCCCCTCCCGGCCCCGCCCTCAGTCCCGCTCGGCGGCCGCGGCGGCAGCGTCGGGGGTGCCGGTCTGGGCAGCGCTGCCTCCTTCTTCTCCGCCTCAGCTCCGCTCTCTCCCGGGCACGGTGAGCACAGCCGCGCGGAGCCGGGCTCTCCTCCCGCCGAGGGAGCCGGGGCGGTGCTGGGGCCGGCGGGGAGGCGAGGCGGGATGTGGGGAGGCTGCGGGGCTCTGCCCCCGCCCGGCACCGCGGAGCCGCTGCGGGCGCGGCCGCCGCTCGTCGCGGCTGGCGCTGGTCGCGCTTGTCACCCGGGACCAGGCTGGGCTTTCGCATCGTATTTCATGTGTGTCATATTGCCTGGGAAACTTCTCCAGCCCGATACAACTTCGAGCAAAAAGGCAAAAGAAAAAAGCCTAAGCCTTTCCATTTAATATTACGGCCGCTGGAAAACATAGCCTGGCAAGTTCCTCTTAAAATATAATTGCAACATCACTCCTTTAGAGGAAGCGAGACCTGGAACATAGGACCGCAGGGAAAGCGCTTAATCTCTCCTTTTGTGTAATGTGGGAAAAGACTGGGCTTTTCTGTGCTGTAGGACTCTCCGCTGGGAGGTTTGATGTCTTTTAAAGTATTCCGAGGCTTTTCAGAAAGGTTTTTAAGTGTAAATTGCTCCTCTAAGGCTCTAATCTGGTGAATTGGAAATGAGGTTAGGTATTGGAAGAGTCTGCTATGCTGTTTTTCTGTCATTTTGGGTAGAAACCGCAAATGAAACCATACTAGTGCTGGTCGTGGCTGGTCTGAAATTGGGGTATATTCACTCCCCAGCCCATGGTTCTGACACCCCTTTCTGAAACTTATACGTGCTTTCCTCTGCCTTTGGCTTGACTGACCTTGCTCAGCGGAATCCTTTGTATCATTGCTACTTCCAAATCTTGTGTAACATCTGCCAGTGCTATAGAAATACATAATTTGTTAGGGTTTTGGATGTCTGTCTTGCTTCCTGCTTGGTTTTTCTCAGATCTTTTTGAAACTCGGAAACTGAGATTAACGCTTTTCTTTTTTTCCCCCTCCTTCCAATTCAACAGATGCAGTTTATGTTGCTTTTTAGTCGCCAGGGGAAACTGAGACTCCAGAAGTGGTATGTCCCATTATCTGACAAAGAAAAGAAGAAAATCACAAGGGAACTTGTTCAAACAGTATTAGCCCGCAAACCGAAAATGTGCAGCTTCCTGGAATGGAGAGACCTGAAGATTGTCTACAAAAGGTGGTTCTGTCTCACTAACCTCGAAATTGCCATACATTACAAACCGTGTATTAGGTAGCAAGAAAATAATGAAAGTTGTTTTTGTTTCGTTGTTGTTTTTTTTTTTTTTCTTCCCTCTGCTGGTTACAGAGAAGACTGACTTTTCCCTTGCATCTAATTTGATAACCAGGCAGGAGTCATTCATGTGTGGAAAATCACTCATGCATTTAGAAATGTACCGAAGAAATGAGCTTTCCTCCTATTTTTATACAGAGTGGCAGTTCTTGGTAGCTTGTTTAGGTTCACGCAGTATGTACATGCTTCATATTTGTATGCATTTCGGATTTAATAAGTGATAAAAATTTTATACTTATCTCAAGAAGTGGCTTCATAAATCACCTGAAAATGTAACTTGCTTTCAAAGGATTCTAGAAATCAGGAAATAGTTTTTCACAGTACTTGGATTGGGTGTTGTATTGTTATGTTTTTGGGTTTTTTTCCCTGTATGTACAAAAAGGGATTTTTCATTATTGCAAAAATCATGGCTAGTTTTCTTTCAGTGGAAGTACTGTATAATTTTCTTCATGATAACCTAATTTATCAGTTATTCCCTAACCTTTGTAGGAGTATTTAGAAGGCATTTTTTAGCTTTGTGCTGATGTTTAGAATGTATCAGAGTGTAGTTTTTCTCCAGAAATAAGTCTTCTGCAGAAATAACAGTAATCCTCCTCCTGATGTGGTATGCTGCATCTCTTCTGGCTAAAGGTGGTGCTACAAAGCCTTGAGTTATCTCTCTTCCCTAGTTAGTTGTAAACCTGAGAATGTTTATTCATTCCTGTTTCCGAGTGGAGATGATAGGTAAATATTGTTGTATTCCCTGCAGATAGGACAGAAAGGTCTGGACCAGAAATGAGGAGTTTGTAACTCTTCTCCAGCATAACAAATGGATAGTATCAAATATATTTAGATGTTTTAAGTGCTGCTCTCATATATATACACCGTTTTGTGTAAAGACATGCTTGTGAGTATTGCTGGTCTGCCTAATGCATGTAGTTCTTCAACATGAGGAGAAAGGAGAAACAATTCATGAGGCTATGCTGATAGCATACACAGTTTCTTGTGCCTCTTGATTTCCTCATAAAACACCTTGAACATGTATGTTGACAAGCTTGCTCATATACTTGTTGAAATTCTATATTAATGCCTTTAAGTGCCTTTTCAGCTGGGCATTCATGGGACTAAGTCAGAAAAATGAGGCATTAGTAGGCCAGTCTGTTTCCTTCCTTACCCAGTCTTGAACAGCAGTAGTTGTTCTGGGGATGATTCCACACAGCTTCTTTTCCTCCCTGTTTGATGCTGTTAACAACTATTTGCCATGTCCTTTTGTGTCTAGGGAGCTGGTGGAAATTGGGGTAGAACTGTTTGAGTTGCTGAATGTTGTGGAGGTCTTGCATCTCAGTGGTGTGTTGTGGGTCCTGTGGTCAAGGAGAATGAAGAAATTTGCTGGGAGACGTCTATGTCTGGCTAAAAATGGTCTAAATACTGCAGTCTGTCTGCTGGACTGCTGGTGTGCACAGCTGACTGCAGTAGCTTATTTCACTCTCTGCAGACCAGTCTGGCACAGACAGCCTATGAAACTGCTCAAGAAGAGCTTGTACCAAGCTAATGAACATCTCAACTTTTTTTTTGACTGTAACATCACCAGAAGGACTAGGTGTAATAGGTGGTAGTTTAAATGTCTATATCTGGTAACACTAACAGCTCTTAGGTTTGTGGGACTTGTTCCCATCATTGCATCATAATTCGAGATGATGAGCACCAGCTAGTATGATTTCTTTGTAAAGGGTGACTTTTTGTAACTGAGAAGGTGGTGGCTAAAAGAAAAACACACCAGAAGGAACTTTGTGGCTTGTGAAATTGCAAAAGGTGCTCCCAGTTCCTCTTGAGGATCTCTGCTACCATTTGTTCTTGTCTGATCTATTGCTGGGAATGATATGAACCTGCTGGCGCAAATGTTTTTCAGTATAAGTTCTAAAAGTATGTGCCTATTGCTATTTTGCATCTTAAATTATTGAAGTTTAAGTGCTGTTTTTGTTTTTAGAGTGTATTTGTTGTTCACATGTAGGAGAATTGAACCTAGAATGATTGGCAGTATCAGAACTGTATTCGAGGGTCTCATCATACCTTTTTGCAGGAGCAAAATGAACTCAAACGCAGAAGTTGGCAAAACAGTAGATTTAGCTTCCTTATGATACTTAACATTTATTAAAACTGCTGGACTATTTTGATTAGCCTCCTTAGCTAATCCTGTAGCATTTTGTCTTTAAAGGATGTTTTCTGAATTTTCAAAGAAATGGATCTTAAAATGCATCTAAACTTGTGTGATGTAGCTTTTATTTCCCTCTGGTTTCATACATGTAGCATTTATAATGGTTGCAACATAGGCTCAGTCATTGCCTCCTTAAGTTTTTTTCCTTCAGCACTACAAAACACAGACAGAAAGGTGCCCAGCTTTTGTCATGGTGTGTGAATTGGCTTATATGAATTCTGTAGCTGGTTTGGAAGATAGTTTTTCAGGCTGATACACACCAGAAGATTAAAAATAGGATGTGAGCTTCTAACTTCAAGAAGCATAGAGATTTGAAGTGACTTGCTGGCAAAATAAAAAATTAAATATGGGAAGCTGACAACAATTACACTTTATGAAAACAGAGGGGGAGTCATCTGCAGACAGCTGATTAGAAATTTAACAAACACAACTGATGTGTTTGCTCTTCACATTTTGTAATTTAAAAAGGTACATAGTGGTTTTGGAGCATATAGGGTAGAATATGCAGCTTTCCCCCTGTGTCAGAAAAAATTTATTAAATGTTAACATTTATAGTTTTTCTAAAGAAGGAACTTAGGATGTGATTTTTTTTTTGAAGACTTCTGTTCACGATTTTAGCTTCTGGCAATATGAGTTATTTTCATTGTGTAGTATATTGCAGTCAAAGTGGAGAACTTGGAGAAAAACTTATTTTATATAAATTTTACTTAGTTAACATTTGATTAGCTGCATTCATGGGGTGTAGTTATTGTTGATTAGTTATTTGATTAAGGATTGTGACTTTGCTTTTATGTGTCAGTTTGGAACTGTATTTGGAATATGGTATTATAGAACTACCATAGCTTTTGCTGCTCTTGATGTGTCAGTTATCTTTTACTTTTGCACAACATAAGCATAATCAGAGGTTATATTAAAGACTTAAAACAAGGTAAGTTTTAAAACTTTCTTTCTACTCTCCCTCCACTGAAAGAAGCCATGAAAGAGCCCATTGTGCGGGTACTGGGTCTCTTAAAGGATTGTGAACTGAAGGTACAGCCATGTAGCCAGTGGGATGTGCCCAGCTTGGCATGATCCCTCTTTCTCCTTATGTATAAATTAGCAGCCAGTTGTACCTCTTTAAAATTATTAGTGGTGTTAGGTGGCTTTGTAAAACAGGCTGAATGCAGTGATTATAGTGAATTAGATACTGGGGCTTGATAAATTTAATTAGATCAGGTTTTCTTTGTACAGGGTTCCAGTTTATGTGGCACTAGGAGGACCTCAGTATCAAGAAGGTACAGAGAGAATTTTCTTAGAGAATTAGCAGTATCAAGTTCCTGTTCATTTTGAAACTGCTGGGGGCTATAGGCTTGCTGAAATAAGAAACTGGAAAAGTGCTTCACTTTGGTAGACTCTGTCCTGGAGCCTCAGAAGTTCATGTTTTATTAAAGAAATGCATAAAATTGTGGGACAAGAAAAAAAACTTACGTCAGGCACAGCTTATTAGTTGTCCCAATTTTCATTGGGTTAGCTATCAGCAAACGACATATTCTTGGGGTCATTGAGCACTTGTCTGCCTCCTCGTTGTCATTTAGAGTTCAGTTCTGTTTGTACCAAATTTGTGAGCTTTAAACTTCCACAGTTGGGATCTATGTGCAAAATGACTTAGATGCTGACAGATCCATGGTTTGTTTGCAGGCTTATGTGGTGATGAACTTCCAGGGATGACTTCAAGCAGGGTGTTCTTTTATCTAGGAGGAGAACACCACTGAGCTGGTAGGATTTGTAAGTTGTGCTCTGCCCACAGTGACTTGTTCTCTCAGCAGAGTTACTGAACCTGGCTGTGAGAGCAGAAGAGAACTCTGCTGAAACATTGCCTGCCTGTTTTGAGGCTTCCCACAGCTGAATTACTGCAACTCTTGAGGGAAGATGCATGGATTTGTTTCCTATCAAAAAAAAAGAAAAAAAAAATCTCGAGGCCATCTGTTGGAAGGCAGGAATTTGCATAAGTATTTATACCTGCTGTGCTACCTTTTTGTTCTTTAATCCTGTTACATTTTCAGGTGATTTGGTCCAAACAGTTTTTGGTCTCTCTGGTTTTGGTCTCCTTTCTGGTAAATGGAGGATATTTATCATAAAATACTTTTCTAAATGAGGGTAAGCAACTGAGTTGAGTCTAATGATTATTTTAATAATATTTATTGAGATAAGAAAAAGACCAGAACTGCAATAGGAATAAAAAAGGCAGAATTTTTCTTACTCACTACACTTTATTTACTTTTTATTTACTTTTTGGGTATGTACATTTCTATCAAGGTTTGCCTTTTCATTGGGTGCATGTAAAAGTTTTTGTCAGGCTCATTAGGAAGAAGCTGTTCTGCAGAGCAGAGATCTTTCTGAGCCTGAGTAATCTACTTGTCTTTGTGTGGATACTGTCCGTGTAAACTTATGCACTTGGCAAAACCTCCAGTGTCTGCTGTGAATTATAAGTGAACACTTTTTTTCTGAAGCCCTTCCTGCAGGGGAAAAAAAATTAAAATAATGCCTCTAAGAATTTGGATTTGAAGCATTCCTTTGTAGTATGCTTATGCCCTTTGGTATGACTTGTTTATACTTTTCTGCCTTTTGCCATTCAGGCTCATTAAATCTGCATTTGTTTTCTTTTGTTGAGTAGTGATCCATTAGTTATGGTTGCTACTTAAAAAATAAATACCAAAATATTCTCTGCATATAATAATAGATACCCAGGCCTCTATTTTGTGTTGATAACCACTGAGTACTGTGTGTTTCTTCGTCTTATTTCTTCAGAACTGCAGTTGGCAGGGCTTGAATGTGCAGTCTACTTGCTAGCTGCCAAACACGGTCTTTTGAAAGTATGTTTCATTCTCTTTTAAATGAGGACACTGAGAGCAGACCATGTTCTGAAAAAGTATTTTGTGTTGGTCTCCCTCTCTCCCCTCCCCCTTCTTTTTCCATAAAATAGTTCTGTGTGTCAAGAGAGACTCTTAAGTACTAGAGGAGCAGAGAAGGACTGTCCCATGTGGCTAAACTTTAAATATTTGAGTCAGATTTGATAAGGTCTGCTGGTACATGGTTCAGCTTGTGTTTAAGCACTATAAGGAAACAGTTTAACTGCACTTCATCATAATCAGTGCTGCTCTTCTGAAGGTAATGAAAGGCTTTGTTTAGATGGATTTGGCTTGAGTGCTGGTGATTAGTGCAAATATCAAATAATGTGTCAATGTTCTTTTTTGCTACAATGAAATATGATAACATGTAGCTTGACTTACAAATTCCTCAGTAGGTTTGAAAGCATGTTTTTTCTTCATAATATCTCTTTCCAATACTTTAAAAAATAGTTTAGGTTCCTTATACAGATTGAATGTTGCAAGTTACTACAATGACTGCAAATGTCCTTGAAAAGTTAGGCATAAACAGAACAATGTAAAATCAAAAGAACTTTTCTCAGATAGGACTTCTGATGAGCTGATGAATCCCTGTGGTGAAGAGATGAAATAGAGAGGGAATGAAGGTGTCCTTCACTGGAGGTGTCTTCCTCTCTTCCCCCATCATGCTTTGTGGTAGGATAGGCAATAATGTCTTATAGTAGTTTAAAGATTTTGTGTAAAACCTTGTATAAAACCTATTCTGATTATTCTTTCATGTTGAAGCCGTAGCAATTTCATTTGGAGCAGAGTGGGAGAAGGGGGACATTTTCAGATCATGGTACTGTATAGGTGTCTTGGAGATTAATTTCAGTGTAACTGAAAATACAGTGGAGTTTTCCCAGAACTTCTAACTTCTAAAAATCTGACAAGTCCCAGCTGATAAAATATGTGTAATCTTTAAAAGAGGCATAGAGTTCTCTGTATGGGAAACAACTATGCACCTTAAACTAGGTATTCACATCTGAATTACTTATTTTTCAGTAAGGCTGGCTACTGAGGAGTGCTTCATGTGGCCGATTGTCTCCTCTAAAGAGGCAAACAAAAGCTGTGGTTAATGTAAATTAGCAGTTACAACAGGTGGTACTTGAAATCTGGTTTGTGCCATGTGTGACTGAAAGGCATATGGTTTTGGCATGTTAGAAAAAACTAAATGGGGTTTTCAGCTTTCATTCCTGTTTTTTTTTTTTAGTCAGCTTTCTTTAAACATGGCTTGAACAAAAATATAAGAGAGCACAGTAGAATTGGATGGTCTTTTTGTTAAAGTTCAACTCAATCACATCTGAAGTTATGACTTCCCTGTCTTCCAAGATGGAAGAGGATTGCTAGAAACTATTTGATGGCCTCTCATCAGTCTGATACCAGGACAGTTAGTAGGGATTGCATTGTTTACTTAGTAGTAGTTGGGGTGGATGATGTTGGTGTTAGTTTTGGAGTTTTTGAATTTTTAAAATTCTGTATAAAGACTAAACCTGCTAATTCAGTCTGTCTTTCTTGAGACATTTCTATGGTTTTTATTATCTGTGTATAGCTTACATGATGAAAGTTGAACACTGGATCAGTTAATTAGTATACTGGTTTATGGATGTTACAGAAAGAAAAGAAAGTATGCCATCTCAGAACTCTGCCATGATGCCACAAAATGAAATATCCAACCATCTCTCTGGCTATTTTAGTTCTGTCAGTTAAAGGATGGCAAAGAGTGAAGTCATGCTTGAGTCAGAGACGCAACTCCCTTGTACATGTGTTTGTCTTCTGGTCTTTCAGCCATTCTTTGGTAGGAATGGCTTGGTTGTGAAGTACCAAAATGCTGAACTTGAGTATGAAGGACTGCTGAGAATGTAATGCTCCTCAAGTGCATTCATTTGCTTATGTTCATATGCTAACATCAGGAATATTTTGTTATTACAGATATGCAAGCCTCTATTTCTGCTGTGCTATTGAAGATCAGGACAATGAACTAATAACTCTGGAAATTATTCATCGCTATGTAGAACTTCTTGACAAGTATTTTGGAAGTGTGAGTTAGATTCTTTATATTTTGTCATTTTGTTTTATGCCCACAGCACTTTTACAAGAGCATAACCAGCTAGTAATTGAAAAGGTGTTTTTAATACATTCTGTGTGGCTTGCTTGGCCAAACCAAACTGATGGTTACCTCTATTAAAATACAAAATTAAATTATTGATTGGTAGAAGAATGGTTATTAATCTGGTGTTAATTGCCTGTGTTTATTTCATTTCATGGTAGTCTCACTTGGGGTCATATAAGATCTTACTCTCAGCAAGAAGCTTTTCTTCTCCCTGGCACTGCCCTAGTGTGGGCACCTCTTACGTCTGCTTCCAAAGGGGGCAATTGGTTGTGAAGTGGCAGGGATGGTAAGGAAAGATGAGAGAGACATCTGGTTACCCAGACAGCAATCACAAACAGCTACAGTAATGTACATGAACACTCCTAGAAAAACTGATGCTCATTCTACCTTCCTTTGTAGTCCTTCTCGCTATGAAATGCACAGACTGAACAAGAAATTTGAGATTATTTTCATGTCCTTCTGTAAGGTTGCGTGAGCTGCCTTTGCGTACTGCACGCAACAAGATAACTTTTATAGGGAATGTTCTCTTGTGTCTTGAAGAGCTGTGTCTTACAGACTTGTGTGAATTGAAGCCTTTTAAACAGTGAAAGCTTTTTTCAGAGTTTGCTGTAGCTGTTTTTAACTGAAGAAAAAATACTATAGTTTTTTTTTTTCCTCCAAACTGTGATTTTTATTATTGCCCTAGTCCTTACAGGGTTACAACCTTAGGCTAACATCTTATTTTGGTAAAGTTTGGTGAAACTGAACAAGTTTTGTGAGAGGATATACCTCAAGTGAGAGTATCCTCCCACTTTGCAGTAATGCTTGATGTTCTTTCTAGGTCTGTGAACTTGATATCATCTTCAATTTTGAAAAAGCCTATTTCATTTTGGATGAGTTCCTTTTAGGAGGGGAAGTTCAGGAGACATCCAAGAAAAATGTTCTTAAAGCCATCGAACAAGCCGATCTTTTACAGGAGGTAAGGAAATCCACCTTCTCTGGCCAAAGCGTCAGCATGGTAGGCTGTGACTCAGAAACTTCATGTTCCTCTAAGCTTCTAGAAGGTACTTTTTAGCATGCTTAGCATGTAGTTTTAGCTAGTTGTCATAAGTGTGCAATAGGATATTAGCTGTTTGGCATGTTGACTTGTAACCTACTGTGACTTCGTGTTCTGCTAGTAAATGCAAGTGGCTGTTCTGTGTTTATACCTAGGTAATTGTAGGTCGTGCTTATTTAACATAGTGTTGTTCATGTGTCTTCCATTCCTTCTTTTTATTTATTAACCATTAGTTTTTTTGTCATACCTGATGCATGTTCACCTCTTTACTTTTTCATTGCTGAAATCCAGAAGCTAGACTCTCTTCTTTGAGACTTTTTCAGGTATAGTTCTAATTAGTTCTTAGACCTGCTTTTCTGCTATAGGCTGCTTACTGTGGAACATTTCCAAACTGGCAAAGCAGTAAATTAGTGCCATAGAAATATACAGAATAAAGTATAAGAACATTGTTTTTTCACTTTGAATGCTTTTGTTGTTTGTTATTATCATTGAGGAATGATGGATTGCATGTCTACCATTAAAAAAAAATTGATGTGAAGGGGTTCAATGGCATAGAAAAACTTAATATAATTTCTCCATATTTCTTTTTTTTTTTTTTTTTTTTTTTTTTTTTTTTTTTTTTTTTTTTTTTTTTTTTTTTTTTTTTTTTTTTTTTTTTTTTTTTTTTTTTTTTTTTTTTTTTTTTTTTNTTTTTTTTTTTTTTTTTTTTTTTTTTTTTTCTTACTGAAATGTACACTGTTAAGGTCCTTGAATGTCTGAATGGGAATCAAAAATGCTGGTGTGCTGGGGGAATCATCAGTCTTGTGGCAAGTCAGTGAGCATATGTTTTAGTAGGGATGGTTCACATTTATTTTTTAAAGTGTACTGAGGTTTACTGGCTAGATGCTATATAGATCCAAGTTGAAAGTCCACATAGGGGAAATAGAGCAACTTAGAGAAAATAGAGCTCTATTTCCCTTATGTGAACTTTCAATTTGATATTTTCTCCTATGAATTAATTGCTTAATAGTCTTACAAGCCTTCTGTGTTCTACTTGGTAGTCTTTTGTTGGACATAGTATTAGTAGGATGGGGAAACACAAGGTGTTCTTTAGCCTGGTAGCTGTTTTTTTAATCCCTTCAGAATACATGGAAATCCACTGCACATTAAAGTTCTTGTCATGAACAAGGTCAGCCATTACACACAGATTTGCTACCCTGTTTACTTCTTGTGTTCTGATTCAATTTAAGTCCTTCTTTACTCTTTGTAGGAATTATCTTAACCAGAAGTCCTGTTGCAGTTTACAAAGAATCTGTTTATTCTCTTAAGATCTTTTGCTCCTTATATGAAAACAGATATAACAAATTAGTTATATATTCCAGTTTGTCTCCTGCAAATACAGTTAATTGCACATAAAGTAGAATAACTATATTCTTTCTCATTGTTACTGCTTTTGAACTTTTTTGCACTACTTCTGTGGGGCTGTTCTAAAGAAAAAATATATTTCTAGGAATTTGTTACAATTTTTCTTTCCAAGCAACAAACCTTTTCTTTTTACAGAGAATATAATTTAATGTATTAATATAACTTCAAGTTAAAAATCTTAGGCAAAGGGAAATATCACTTTCTCAGTGTGAGACTTTTCTCTAACCCTGGTAGCTTCACTCTGATTACTGTTCCTTTCCCCATGTTTAGGAGATTTTTCAGTTGCCAATGTTTATTAAATAATTTTGATTAACTTGGAATGTAGCAGTGTATCACAGCACTGCTGGAGTCCAATGTTGAGCTTCCGTGTTTTTCAATCTTAGTTGTATTGACTGTTGATCAAGTATAAAGGTATATACAGGTATACTCCCTATACCTGTATTTTAGTTTATAAACCCTGTAAAAGTCTGGGCTCATATTTAAATTGAGCTTCCAATAAATTTGGACTCCTTTCTATAGAAGTTTGGTTTTGTATCAACTGCTCCTATGTAAATGCTGGGTTTGATCAACAGAGTTGTTAAAATAAGTTTCTCACATGTGGAGAATTCTAATACTTTGAGTTAATATCTGCTTCCCAGAATACTTCAGAACTACCAGACTGAAACATGGTGTGATTCCAAATGCAAAACATATTTCTAGCAGGGTTGTCATGTGTTTGTTTTTGACCATTCAGTTTTGAATTATGTACAACAAAGTAATTTTTATTTGGCCCTGAATACTCATATTGCCAAATATATATATGTACATATGTATGCACATACATATATATAGTTGAATACACAATATTATTAATTAATAATGCTACAGGCATTGGTGTCAGAAGTACCTTAAAGATGAAGAGCTGTATGGAATACTTATACAAAAGAAAATCATTACAGATCCATTAAGTGACTGTTTATGTAATGGTAAGAGGAAATACACTAAAGCATAAATTGCTGAGTAGTGAATTAGTTCTTAAAAGCCTTGCCTATGTGCATTTTCTGTTGGAGTTTTCCAGGATGTACTTCTATGTCTGAGCACCTTCACTGACTGCTACAGTTGGTGTGATGGAAACACACCAGCCTGTTAAACCCCTCTCACCTTCACGTTCTTGTTAGTTCCTTAGGAATGTACTTAGTTCAAGTATTCATTCCCTACCCCCTCCCCCATATTTATTACCACCTGATAACTTATCAGTAGTCAGTCATCAATACTGGCAGTGGTACCCAGATGAAGGGTAGTAAAAGGTAATTAACTCCAGTGCTTCCATTCTTCCTTGTCTCTCTATTGTCGAAATGCTTCTGTTGAAAAGAATGTTTTTACATGTTGCTGATGATTTTGTATCTTGTTTGCCAGAGAGATTTTAATACTTAACTAGTGATTACAAAGGCATGCACTGCTGAAAAATGGGTTTTGCTTGTGTGAACAACTCAATTATACTGAAAGAAATTGGTAGATGCAGTGTGTTGTTGCATGAATTAAATATATACATGTGATGTGTGGAACAGCTAAAAGATAAGAATGTGCATAATTTTGTGACACTTGAGTTTTGTAAGGTGTGAAACTACCAATGATAGATGTTCTATACAAAAGAGAGGATTTGATTTATTTCTCTCAAAAGTCTAATTGCTCAGTTTTTTGGTTTGTTTTGTTTTGTTTTGTTTTTTTGATGGCTTGAGTAACTCAATATGGTGCTTAGAAGTGTGTGGTCATTTACTGTGCTAAAATGCTGAAATCAAGGAGTTAATAATTGTAATATTTAAACTGAGCAGTCATGTATGTATTTTAAAGCAAATCTGTACAGACTTACTCCTCTTCATTTGAAGTAGGAAAAATTTCCTAAACATTGGTTATGAATGAAAATAGTTTTTGTTGATTATCCTAGGAAAATTGTAGAAAAGTATTTTGGAAATTATCCCCATTTTATTCACCACTGTTCCTTTGTAGGATATTTTTGATTTTTTTTAGTATTTGATTGCAGAACATCTAAATATCTAAAAATACATATTTTTTTAAAGGGATTTCTAAATAAAAAGGCCAATGAGTCTATCCACAAATCACACTTGCTTGTTTCTGTCACTATTTCAGTAATGATCAAAAACTAAAAAGCTGTGTGAACGTTTTTTTTTTCCCCTTAGGCTCTTGCAGTTTGGCCTCAGGCAGTATTTACTAGTCCTTCCACATGAAGAATGAAAGATAAGCTATCAATTAACCTTATTTTCTTTGCTATTTCAAACCTTTGCCTCGTCCTACATCCAGAAGGGTGCTGACAGTGTTCATGTCGGCTGACTTGCCTTAGATGTTTAGGGTTGCTACTTAGATGAAAGCTTTTGGTTTTAGAATTAGCATATTTGGAAATGAAACTCTGTTGAATTTCCTACATATGCTATGAGAATTTTCTTACTGGAGATGAAATGTGCTTATTGGAAACTATAGGTTTGAAAGTATGCATAATAGTAGGTATTACGTTGTTCTTGAGATATGCCAAAACTCCTTCATTTTGTCATTAACATTGGCAAAAGAAAATTCTTAAATTTAAGCCTCCACTGGGTGGGAGTATAAGGGATTTTGTCTGGTTTAGGAAACAACATTTGTAAGCACCTTTTTATTACCATTTGCCTGAGAAACTGACCACAATGAATGCAATTAATTCATTCTTCACTTAATGTAGTTTCTTAAATATGGACTGTTGAAATAGACTGCCTTCCTAAGTTGGCAGTGGCATTATTTGCCTTGGCTGTGCCTGTGTTCTTCTGAATGTGAAACAAGAATGAATAATGGAATCTTTTATTATCATGGAGATCCAGCTGCCTTGACTACCATCTGCTCTTCACATTTAACTTCCATCTCAGTTTCAGGTAGTCAGCTTTGTTGATCAGTTGGTCACTGAAATTTTAAGACATGTATCTGCTTGATTTTAGACACAGATAATGATCTACAATTACATTTTAGAAGCTACATATATATGGGGACATCCCAAAGTTACTGTGAATGAGAAATGATAAATTGTTAGTACATTATTTAGGGATTAGGAAATGGCTGTGATTTTTATGGATTTGGAATCCCTCCCAACTCACAGAAGAACAAGTTGTAGTGTTTTTGGTAGCTTTTGTAAAATGTGTTTCAGAACTCAGTCTCTGGAGATGTATTTATAGAAGAAAGGGGCTATAGTGCTGTTAAGAGTATTTGGCACTCTGCATGATGCTCAAAAAAGTCATGGCAATCAGATGCAGTCCCAGGTGAGGGAAGCTTTGTACCCATTTTGAAAGGCGTAGGAAGGAGAACTCTGGAAACTACCAACCTGTCATCCAGACTGCTGTCCACAGCTGGAAGGAGCTGTGCTGGGGCATGTGGAAGGCAGGGAGGTGATTTAGGTCAGCCAGCATGGCTCCACCGAGGGCAAGTCCTGCCAACCCCTTATATGGGTTGGCCTTCTATAATGAAGCAACTCCATCAGTGGGCCAGGGGAGGGCTACAGA